AATCAAAGGCTTTTGTATTGTCAATGTAGCAGAAGTAGATGTTTTTCTGGAACCCTCGTGCTTTCTCCATGATCCAGCGAATGTTGGCGATTTGATCTCTAGTTCCTCTGCCTCTTCGAAACCCAGCTTGTTCATCCGGTAGTTCTCGGTTCATGTATTGCTGAAGCCTTGCGTGTAGGTTTTTTAGCATATCCCTGCTTGCATGTGAAATGAGTGCAATTGTGCGATAGTTTGAGCATTCTTTGGCATTGCCCTTCTTTGGAATTGGAACATAAACTGACCTTTTCCAATCCCGTGGCCACTGTTGCGTTTTCCAAACTTACAAAAACTTTGTTTTTACAAAGGGGTAAAAAACAATACAATTGGCTTTTAGTTATTGATTTTCCCAAGTGGCTGTAGATATAAACAAATTTCAGATGTTCATTTGACAAGCTTTGAGCTGTATGTGTAAAAGCATTATAGAGCTAATTAAGCAAATACACTTTTCTGAGGGCTAACATATGGGATTAACACAATCCTTCAGATGATATGTTTAGAAAATCTAATAAGATAGTGATGCCAAAGAAACACATTCATTAGCTCCATCATAATATATACTCTATACATGCTACACTCAACACTGACTTCATGCTAAAATGTCCATTTGTTGTCAACATAAGACAAACTGATCACTTGCTTAGATAAGAGACTGGATGAACACCAAAAATGGATACATTAGAAATCAGAGGAAAAATATGCCCATAGTCTACCCAAATATGCTCCTACTGACCATTAATCTGCTTAAAACAAACAAACAAACTTGAAACAGGTTCCTCAGTCAGTGTCAGAACTTGAATTTGTCAGCCAATATGACTTTAATAAATTCATTTGGAACTATTGGGACATTGGGTCTGTTATGTTACAGGTGTTGATAAAGCACACCCTAAAGAGAGTTAAATCTGTGTCTGATGTAATGATGGGGTGTTACTGTGTATGCATATGTAAATACACTAATAATCCTTGTATTTTATAATCTTATACATTCACTTTCTTTTAAAGAATGTCTATGCCTATTTGTGTAGATTTGTTTGTGATTTGGTTCACATATCAAGCTAAACCTTAATGTGCTCTGTGTGGTTTTAGGTTAGCACATTGTGATTTAAAAATTCATGGCTTGGTATGTAGTTATGTATTTTTATATACATAACTGTTTGAGTTATATTTAAAATACTCTATTCCTTGAATAATTTATTTTTCAGATTCAAATCAAGTTATTGATCTTACTTTTTCATTTCTCTTTCCCCTTCACATTTTTGAACATCAGTTGGAACAAATGGAACTTGAAGTGCGTGAAATCCCTCCACAGAGCCGAGCCATGTACAGCAGTAGAATGAGGAGCTACAAGCAAGAAATGGAAAAACTTGACACAGATTTTGTGAGTTAATTCATCTGTGGTATTTTGTGAGAGGATTCATAAAGTATTTGCTGTAGTAAGCTTCACTACGGTATCATCATTCTTCATTCTACAGGTAGTCCCCAGTTTAAGAACGAGTTTCATTCCCAAGGTCTGTCCTTAAGTCAAATTTATATGTAAGCTGGAGCAGTATTATTGTATAATACTGTATAAGTAGTATTGTGTAATTAAGTTGAACCATTGTGCATTTAACTCAAATTTTGCTACAATAGGCTCCGTTCTTAACTCTGGATCATCCTTAAACTGGGCGTTCTTAACCCAGGAACTACCTGTAAATAACATTTGATTGTTTGAAATATCGTAGAAACACCAAAAGTATTACTCAGTTATTTAATAATTAAATTAAATTAAATTAATTATTTATTAAATTTTACTGTAAATCAGTTATGCCTAGAATCAAGTTTCCTCATAAATACAACCATTTTTTTTTACATAGCTTGTCCATGCACACTGTTGTTAATAACCTGGATTTTCTCCACTGATAGTTTTCTTGTACTATATCACCAGGTGTACAGTTTACAGAAATTCTTGGCACTGTATATGAGCCAATTACCCACTTTTCTATCTTCATTATTTTAGGAAAATAAGATGTGAACCATGCTTGTATATTGCTCTCTCCCCTGTGTTCTGCTTGATTCTTTTTTAATGTAATACTTAGCATAATTATTCTTAATAGTATAATTAAGTATAGCTTTCAAGAATCTATTTTGGCTTATTTATTAGGTAATGAAAGATAATTTATATTTAAATTAACATTTCATATTTTTATAGCCTATAGAATTAAATAAAAGCTGTTTCATCAAGCATTCAATAATTTTATTTGACTAAACATTTGTCTACTTGGCTGCTGGAAATCAATCAGTTCTGTTCTCTAAGTTAAGCTTCCTATTTCCCAAGCTTATGATTGCCTCCTCAAAATCCATTCCAATTCTATCTGTTCCTTTTGTATCTGCCATGAGTTTTCAGAATCCTGAACTTGTATAAATATATTCTCCCTGGAATTTTATGGAAGTGCTTCTTACATACATCATGGAAAAATCAGGATAGTGATTCTTTACCGATGCAATTTTCCCACTCCTCACATTTCTTAAGATGAACCCAACATTGGTTGCTTTTATCACTCCAGATTGTTTTGGAATAGCGTGCTAATGAAGAAACTGACATAACACTAAGGCTGAAAAATGGCAAGGGATGTTATCCACTTGTACTATATTTAGGAGAGCAAAGCAATCGTGCTTTATGGAATATCCATTCTTCTTAACTTGTGATTGGCAACAGCATTTCAAGAGAATTCAACTGCCAATTCTAAATGTAATTTTAAAGTATAACAGCCAATACCCAAGTCTAGGTCTAAGCAAAATATAATTTTAAATAGTACAACTAATCATTTGAGTTACAAGTAGCTTTTCAGGCTTGTTTCTGTAATATTCTGAAAAATAAGCTACTTATCAATAAGTTAGAGAGATTTCTGTTATCCAAGAATATGAGGAAGACTCAAAGTTGGATTTCAGAAATACAACTATGGCTTGCAATATGATACATGAATGTGGTACAGGTAAGCAGAGGCAGCCACAATGATGTATGTATATATGTATGTGTGTGTGTGTGTGTGTATAAAAGGTCACAGTATTTGTAACACCATAATTTATAAAAAA